GGAGACATGAAAGTTACACACTGAACACTAGGCCCATAATCTCTACTGCTGTTCAAGCCTATGATAGCTTTCATCACATTTTAATGAAGAGCCAACTCACAGTAGGCAAAATAACAGTTGACACAGGAGCTGTTGATCAACTGCTGCCTCTACTACCAAGTTGATACTAAGTTATGTTTAAAAATCATACCAGATGACATTAAACCAGCAGCTCTTACTTTTATATGAGCTAAAATCAATTCTTATATCTATAGATTTCATACATGACAATTAAGAGCAGCTGTTTTCAAATGTGGGTCAATGGCCCCCTGGTGGTCCACAAAGGCATTGTAATGCCCCCAGTATTGTACAGTAGTATTTATTTTTTTTAGCGTCTTTCACACTGGCAAACTAGAAGGATAAAAATTAAATTAACTGTAAGAAAAAATATATAATCTCAACACCTCCTTATACTTGTCCCCAGATTGCTTTTTAGTCAAAACAGTCATCCCAGAATTAAAATCCATTAACAGCCCTACTGTGAGATTTACCACTCTCAGGGCCCACCATCTAAGGCCTAAACTCTGGCTAAGACACAAGTGAGAAAATTGTTTGTCAACTTTTCAACAAAAGTATTATCTTGTTTGTCTTAAGGCCTTAAGGTCTTGACCTGATAGTGTCTAAAATGTCTGTCTTCAAGCCTCTGTTTCTCTCATGTCTCCTAATCTTGTCCTCTGTCTCAGGCTGGTGAGGCATCCCAGGTGGAAACAGTATCAGAGGAGAACAAGGGTCTGATCTGGAGTCTGCTCAAACAGCTGCGGCCAGGTATGGACCTGTCCAAAGTGTTGCTTCCAACCTTCATCCTGGAGCCACGCTCCTTTTTGGACAAGCTGTCTGACTACTACTACCACGCTGACCTGCTCTCACAGTCAGTGCATTACAGCTGAAATATCTAACATCACACTCTGCTCCACTGACCTCTGTCTGACCTCCCTGTACTTTTCTCCCAGAGCCGTACTGAAGGAAAGTGCATTTGAGCGCATGAAGCAGGTGTTAAGATGGTACTTGTCTGGTTTCTACAAAAAACCTAAGGTGAGGCTGTCAGTGCCATGTTGGCACTGTGTGTCGTCTAAATATTCCACAGCAGAAGGGTAGAGATTTTAAAAACAGAGATGGAAAACATAACGATGATGAAATGTTAATATTTCAGTGACATCATCTTCCACATCACACAGCAGAAATTGGACTAGTTCTTATATCCCAAACATTTTGGATTTGAGTTTTTTCTTTTTTTTTACTCTTCAGGGTCTTAAAAAGCCTTACAACCCAATCCTGGGGGAAACGTTCCGCTGCTGTTGGCCCCACCCTCAGACTCAGAGCTGCAGTTTTTTCATAGCTGAACAGGTGAAAATAGACCCTGGACTGGAATGAACCAGTCTTTCTGACGGGGATCATCAGTTACTGATTTATCCTTTTAACCCCTGGAATTTAAAAATTGAAAACAACATTACGAAGGGGCGTCACCACTCTGTTGCTCAAATGTATGTCTCATGTCTCTAGGTGTCCCACCATCCACCTGTCTCTGCTTTCTACGTCTGCAACAGAAAAGATGGCTTTTCTGTCAGAGGAAGCATCCTGGCCAAGTCCAAATTTTATGGTACTCGTATTAAACCTTTCACTAAAACAACTCCTACACTTGGCTTCAACCACTGTACAGTAAACGTCATCATCTCCTCTTGGTGTTGTAGGCAACTCAGTGTCAGCTATTCTGGATGGTAAAGTCAGGCTGATGTTCCTGAACAGGGATGAGGAGTATGTCATCACAATGCCATACGCTCACTGCAGAGGTAAACTGGACACACGTACACTGTGTTCACTCTGGTTAACACTGGAAATTAGTATTCCCACAACATTCCAGTTTTCTGGAGGGTATCAGGCTTCACTGCAGTAAGATGAGTCCATGTACATATATTGTATACACATATGGATACACACATATATGCACAAAAATATAAAAATACATGTGCATATACTGTATACACACATGCATACACATACAGCTGTAGAAATACATGTACAGTACATATACTGTATACACCTACGCATATACAAACGTACATATGTACAAAAATATGGAAATACATGTACATATACTGTATACACATATACATACACATACATATGTACAAAATATATAAATACATGTACATACTGTATACTGTATACATATATGCATACACGTACAAATATACACAAATATATAAATACATGTATGTAGTCATGTATGTAGAATAGAATGCACATGTGGTATCAAAGACAGGTGGTAGAGTCTACTCTGAGGTACACTGAGATTGAAAAGCTGGTCCTCTAATTCTGCATTCTCATTGTCTTGTAGGAATTCTGTACGGAACTATGACACTAGAGCTGGGTGGGAAGGTTTCCATAGAGTGTAAGAAAACAAAATGTGTCACAAAAATGGAGTTCAAACTCAAGGTAACATTTATATCATGATTACCAATCATGATATATATATATATATATAAATATATATATATTATTGCTTTCACTGCAGCCTATGTTGGGACGACCCTGCTCTGTCAATCAGATCATAGGGAAGATCACAGTAGGGGATGAGACTCTGGCTACAGTTGACGGGTACTGGGTAAGATAGAGCTTTAAAACCTTCACCCTCTGATCACACGTCTGTTACAGGTGTGTAATCACTCCATAGTCTGGAGGAGTAGAAAATGTTCTTGGTTGAATAAAAAAAATGGAATAAATACATTTGTTCTCATGATGACATTAGGGTTGATCATGTGACATAAGACTGATGTGCTGCTTCTCTGTCTGATCAGGACAGTGAAGTATTTGTCTATGACAAATACTCAGGTCAGCAGGAGTTGCTGTGGAATCCCAGTTCAGAAATCCGCAGCCACCGTCTCAAGAGACAAGTGGTACCAGTTGATCGGCAGAGGGAGTTTGAGTCTGAGAGGTAAACAACATGAATGATGATCGCACTATAAAAGGTGCTGTGGGTAACATTCTGGAAGATTTCTCAAATATAACAACCGGCAGATCGTTTGGGTGTTAAGCATCCAACCTACCCAAAACATGGGTAGGTTGTGTTTCCGGAAATAGAGATTTGTCTACAGTTTGAAAAACATTCAACACATACAATGTCAATCACAAAGGTATGGTTAAGCATCAGTTATTTCCTGGCCACACATCTGAGAAACAGAGCCACGGATGACTCACTTAAATGTTGTTAAATGTTGGTAAATTCACTTGACATATTTAACACCACCCACATCTCTCAACGTCATTATGTCGATCCCCTGGCAGACTGTGGCAGCATGTGACCAGTGCCATTTTGGATCAGGACCAGCAGCAGGCCACTCAAGAAAAGTCTGTGCTAGAGGAGGCTCAGAGGAGAGAAGCCAAGGAGAGAGGAGACACACAGTGGATCCCACGACTTTTCCAAAAGGACCCTGTCAACTCTGAGTGGATCTACAAGCACATGGAGTAATACGCAATAAGTCAATACTGTGGTGATGTAGGTAGAGAGGGGAAAAAAACAACTAATAATCACATGATACTAATATCAACAGGATGCAGCTGTGGGACCCAGGTCAATGTCTGGTTCAGTTTGAGAAGGATGGTGTGATCCAGACGCAGGAGAAAACTCGACACAATGAACGGCCTGACAACAGCAGTTGGACAGATCAAAAAGAGGTCGCACAGCTACCTGTGGGCGTACTGCCTGTTATCAACGATGACTCAAATTAGATACGTTTTTGACCAGGCTGTATGGTCCTCTGAGGTTTAGGGTTTGGTACAATCACAGGTTATTGATTTTCTGTCATAACTGTTCCATACACAATGCCCCACATTCACATTTACACTAAAAAGGTATATAATTGTAACTTGTTTGAACTATAGTGTTAAAGTATGAGAAACTACCGTAGTTTTCCGGACTATTAGCAGCACCAGAGTATCACAAGTCACACTAGCCAAAAAATGCATAATGAACAAGAAAATAAATAAATGGCTCCGAAGTGTAAGTTGCACCAGTGCCCTCTAGCGGCTGTCAGTGTGAAATAACGAAAATAACATTGCAATATTGTTTTTATGAGACTTTAATTCATTAATCTGTTTTTCATTAATTTTCTTCTTCAATTTCAGAAATGACACCTGTGTTTTACCTGCCAGCCTTGGCCCAGCTATTGAAGTTTGTCTTTCTCTCGTGTTGGTATTGATTGAGCTCCGACCATTACTTGAATATGTAGTTCATGTAAAAAAGAAGTGAATAGTCAGAAATGTGTTAAGGTAAAGTGGTCATGTTTTAAGGAAATATAGTCATATTAATTAAATTAATTAAATGTCGCACTGGTCAGTGCCATCTTAAATACCTGGGGAACACCTTGGAAATAGACTTTTTAAAAACTATAGCATAAATATATCAAAATAGTTTTTGTATGTTAGTTACATGGGTTTTACTAGAAAAAAAAGATTTCATTTAAATTGTGTATATCCAATATATTAAATGGCATGTGAGGAGTAGATTCCAAATGAGGATTTTATTGTACAGTTTAAAGAAGAGGCGGCGCACATTCACAATTTAACAGTTACATGTAAAAGATTCATTGGCAGGAAAATACAAAACAACATGCTGAAAACCCAACATTTATCAAGTTATATAAGGTGTGTTTTTCATTTTTATATGTCCGTATTCCTATCCAACAATATTTATATCTCCTTTAAGAATGCATATAATAATCAGGCTACTGTCGCTTTTTCCACTAGAGGGAGCCGTTGATGTATGTAACTGTCTTTTAATAAATCCTCCATTGTCTGTCCTTACGTGATGACAATTATTGGACATAAAATGAGAGAGTATGGTCTCTACAGGAGATATCAACCCAGTCCCGACACTGAGAACAAACGTTAGGATCATGTTGACTTGTTGACTGACTGTAACTGAGAGATGAACCTGAGCAGGTGTAAATCTCCACGTGGATCAATGGATCTGCCACACACACAGATTTAAGCCCCTGTGGGAGAGTTCAGATTGTTTTGTGTGACTTTCTTAGGCCTGGAGAGTGGCTGAAATCCATCTGTCCTTCATATTTACATTGACTACTTTGTGTTTAATAGAAAATAAAGTTATATTTATTTGAGAAAACAGCAGAGATTTGGTCTTTTGTATCGCATTTACTGTTAAACCTCGAATCCAACAAATAGAATCAATTTTAAGTGCAGAGCATCACGAATGATGCAGGCCAAAAATATAAGGACATACTGTTGTTTGATCTGTTAAATCTGTCTGTCTACACTAAAAACAATGGATAAATGATGATTGGTTTATTACTGATTGGGTGATTTCTTTCGAGTAAAGAGATCTCTATGGAATTCTATTCCCCTGTCATGTTTCTAGCTTACATTTAAGACTAAAACTCTAGTAAAAACTGATGCAGTTGGCATAGAAGGAGGAAACAGCAGAGGGTGGAACAGTGAGAAGGATGCTAAAAGTGGAGTTTCTATATATAAAAAAATGAAAGGTTAGCAGAGATGTTCCCACGCTAAGACTTCGGTTTTGGCTTAAGCTTTCTTCATATTTTCCTCTGACGACATAATGACTGTATCTTGCTCAAAGATCAAACCCTAAAAATAAACAATGCTGCCCATTCATTGGAATCGTATTGAATTGTACCAGGTACTGATTGTGAGAAGTGGATAAAGACATATGTGCAGCGGAGACAAACAGTGAGATCCTCCTCCACAGCTACTTTGTGTTGTCCAGAGTTAGCTGCGAGTCTGTGTGGGTGCACACTGGACTATTGTGTGTTCTGAGAGTGTGTGTGGGGCTGACACTCCAAACTATGCCGTAGAGAATGTGTGTTTGTATGAGTTTTTTTCATGGCTGTAGGAACTGGTGAATAAGAGACATAATTCGTCTTAAAATTCCCTTCTGTGGCAGAAAACCCGTGTCAACCAGTGTGTGTTGGTGTATTTACATCATCATCGTCACAGGACACATACACACAGATAGGAAAGATGAACATGACTACCTAAGTCACCACATTTAAGATTAAATTCATATCAATATGTTGATTATTTTGCTGTATATGACAGTGTGTTACACATTTTAAAATGTTTCATGAAAGCCCTTGAATAAATACATTTGTTCATTTTAAAATGTTTCATGAAAGCCCTTTTAGCACTTCCATAGTGTAACAGTTGGCACGCCAGTCTGGTGAGCAGAGACTCCCAGAGAAACCACATTCTTGGCACCTTCAAGGGACAGCCTGTTGCAGCAGATCTGCTGTTAACACAAGAATTTCTCAATTGTGGGATCAATAAGGTTCAACTTATTTTATTTATAAGGTCTTGATGACAAAACACTAAAATGCCTAATGGAAGATATGGAATTGTAAAATTCTATGAAAATTCTATTTCTACCTAGATACTTACTGTGTCATCCAATACTTGACCTATTTTCATTTACTTTCACAAAGCATTTTGCTCAAACTGGGGGTTTATACCCAACAGTGGACCATGAAAATAGGTCTGGTGGGTCATAGGACAAGATAATGTCCACAGTATCAGTTTCATTCACGAGGAAAGTTCATGTGACTGACGCAAGGCAGTGAATTATAGAGCTCTATTGGTAATAGACACAGACAGACTCTCTGTCTCCCTCTGTCTGTCACTTAGTATAAGTGCTTCATACATTCTAGACCCTAATGAAACAAAAACTAACTATAAGTGTTGGCCTTTTAAGAATGAAAAAACTTCTTCTTCTGGACTGGCCCTAATGTTTACTCTGCTGCAGGACAGGCCTGTCTTCCATGGTCAACTGCAGGTCACATTTTGCAGGAGGGAAGAAACAGAAACCTGCCTTCAAAGTGGCAGAGGAGAGGAGGAAACCTGAGGACCAATGTTTTGTGTCACTGTCTTTATCTCTGGTGCACTAACAAAAACGTGTCTCTTCTCTCTTTTCATCCTCCTTTCCACCTCTTTTGTGCACATGAGTCATTCGACGTAATTTAACTCTTTAGAATTTCTGGCTTTGTAATTTTTCACAAAAAACATTGTCTTAAGTTCCACATTATTTCATTCCAGTGGGGATTCCAGCTCATGTTTCTGAACCGCCACAGTGTTCATTAAAAACTTTAATCTAAGCTTCCATTTCAAAACACTATCTCTGAAAGTCTTGTTGAAACTTGTTCCAGAGTTCTCTATTGTCCCACAATAACGACACTGGTGGCTGTGTTCAAAACTCCTCTTCACTCCTCCTCACAACACCAAAAACAATTAACACTGCATCGATAATAAAGTCAATTTCTGTATTCCTATGAAAAAGGAGTACACTGCCCTCATCTGCATTATTGTTATTTGACCCTAATAAACCTTTGGTGAGTCATGGTTTATTATGACTCATGGTTAAAGGGAAAACTCTCTGTTAGGAGGACTGTAACCAGGACCATCTGACTGTTGCCATGTCATCAACAACATCACATGCTACAATGACAAGGGTCATCTGCCTAAACAACAAATAGGACGTGACCTCAACACGAGCGACCAAAATGTTTGGTATTTTTAATTTGACCTTCTTTAGTAACTGTCTTTCTCTTTGGAGTGATGATGATAACTGTTTGATGAACACTGACCTAGTTACACTGCGGGTGAATTAGTGTGCAGTTTCACTATTTCGTAACTATGGTGATAGCAATGTCTTATCTATGATCATAACCTTGTTCACATAACTTTTATAATTATTTCTGCTTATAATACACATATACACACACCATAGAAATACATTATACATAATTCTAATTTAATGAAATAATACACATTGCAATAACAACCACTACACACGACAACAGAACTCATCTACTACCACTACTAATACTAATCTATCTACCATTAACGTCCACTGTTCTCCATATTCTTTGATGACGTGCTGCTACTTCTGTTGGTATTTTATTCCTGTTGTTTTGGGGCAGTACTGCTGCTGGAGTTTAAATTTCCCAAATGGTACTCCCAATGAATAACATTTCCATCCATTCATCCATTCATCCATCATCCACCTCACACCTCATCATTACGACCAATCCAGTTAAATTAACCAAAAGACTACACATCGATTACCAGCTCAGTATAACCTGAAGAGCACCTGTCTCTTTAACCACAAAGGAAAACTAATACACTCCCCCAGAGCTGCAGAGTTTACATGTGGTTTTCCTGCAGTAAAATGTCTTAGTTTTAAGTTTTCGTTGATGTTCAAGTCACTCCCACATTGTGGGCACTTTGAATAGTGGAAAAAATGAGAGAGAGAAAAAAAGTAAGGGATGCAGATTGTTAGCCGTTACAACACCGTGGCACAGACTTTTGCCTAGACTTGTCTTCACTTTGTCAGTGTTGAAAAGAAGATGGAGAAGATGTGAAGATGTGTGTGAAAAACACTGAAGAGGAGTATAGGCACGCGCACACNNNNCACACACACACACACACACACACACACACACACACACACACACACACACACACACACACACACACACACACACACACACACAAAAACCCATAATAATGAAACGTGTGAAACACATCAGGATGGATGGCTTTTCACAGGAGACAAGAACCACAAACTACAAAAAAACTCCCCTCTTCTTTCCTCTTTCCTCTCCTCCCATCTGTCAGTCAGTCAAACAGTTGTCTGTGATTTAATAAAGTGGAGAGTGAAAGCTGTGACATGATCTCACAGCTGCTCTCTCTCTCTCCCTCCCTCCCTCTCTCTTTCTCTCTCTGTTTGAAATCCTATACAGACCTGATACTTCCAGGATGCTGGTCGTTAACACAGGGAAGTTAGTGTCAGCAGGCTGTCTGCAGGTCAAAGTTAGTTTGTAGTAAACAAGTTACTCCAAATGTAATAAGATTATATGTTCACAATCACTATTTCTTTCTATAGGAAAGGACTGAAAGGAAAGTTAACTACTTCTCATTGTGATACATCACACCACTGCTGTTAACCCATCACTAAAGTGAACAGTGAACAGTGGGCAGCTTTAAGTGCCCAGGGAGCAGTGTGTGGGGATGGTGCCATGCTCAGAGTACCACAGTGGTACCTTGGCAGCTGGTGGACTCGAACCTGAAGACTTCTGGACCCAAGTCCACTTCCTCAACCACCAAGCCACCACATGCCCCCATTTTACCATTTTACAGTTCTGATAGGATGAAGCAGACTGTGACAATGTGACTACATAAAGATAATAAGTTGTACTCCTCTTAGACAGAGTACAGACAGCCACACACTGTATATTCTTCTCTACAAGCTGGGCTTTGTTGAGAAGGCTACATCCTCTGTGGAGAGATTCTGACCCTTGTTAGAGAGAGCAGAAGTGTGTGTGTGTGTGTGTGTGTATTCTCTTCCTATCCATGTGTACGCACACTCTACGTCTCCTGCCCACTCAGCTCTTCCACACATCGGCCCAGATTCCAGTGGACCTCCCTGCTCGGGTGTTTGGAGAGACTGCTGGGGTTGGAGAGCAGGCTTTGAAGGAGGCTCCAGTGACTCATTACCCAACAATCCACCCACCCTCCATGTCCTCTACACCCCTCCAAACAGCTCCATCCTCGTCCCTGCCCCTTGTTTTGTGGCTTGGATAGCTGACCCGCAGTCACCGTTCACCCCGCACACACACAGACACACACACGCAGATAGACACACACTTGGCGATAAGCGGCGTAAGAAAAGAGTTTCTGTTTCAGTGACACAGGGATTGTGTGGACTAAAGCACTATGAAAGACTCCTCTGTGTGTGTGTGTAGATGTCAGAGTGCATGTCAGCGTGCATGATGACATTCATACATGTACAGTCCCCGCACTATAGTTCGTCTTGTGTTTCCTCTTTTCAACAGCATGTGGAGTGAGTCTGTGCCAAGTTCTCAGATTTCCTGGTTTAACGCTCCAGCTCCAGCATTCCGTGCGTGAAAACCTGAAATCCTGATCTCTGTCTGCATTTCTTCTTCTGGGGTCTTTGTGTGTATGTGTGTTTTCTTTTGGAAGGGGCGGGGGGTGAGGCGGTGTAAACCTACACTACTCACCCACGGCTCACATGGGTCTCACCGCCGCCTTTGATGTGATGTGAACACTGGCCTATAGGCACCTCGTGGGGACAAAATGAGACATTGGTGACCATGTTTAAACAGTTGGTTCACCGTACGTGTGTGTGTGTGTGTTTGGACATGCTGCAGGGTGTGATCATTAAGGGCACCAACCATAGGAGGCAACTACATTTTAAGTATGAGGAAAAAATATATAATTATATATATAATACAATTAAAAATAATTGTGTTGCTTTGGCAATACATATACTAATTTAAAAATAAAGAATGCCCTCTGACTTAACGGGGGGAATATTCACAATAAACCCAAACCTAATGGGTTTGGAGCTTATTTTGACAACAAAATATAAGTAAGCTAAGTATGCTGTTGGTTTACACAGTTATATGTGAGACAGGGTGAAGACAGTAAAGTAAAGCTGTTGGCAGACAAGGAAGAACTCCATTAACAGAAATGGATTTTACATTTCCTCTACATCAGTGGTCCCAAACCCCCGGGCCACGGCACCGGTCGGTGGGTCAATTAGTAATGGGACGCACAGAAAGAATGCATAACTTACATTATTTCCGTGTTATTTATCATTTGATTCTGAACTATGTCTTATTTTGAAAAATTACCGGATACTCTCTGCCGCATCCATCTATGAGTCACACTTGATACATGGTTGAGGAAGATGGTTGCCGTACTCAGGTTTTATCTAAATCAGCTACCTTCTTAGATTGTTTGCCCTGCGTAAAAAGGACAAGAAGATCAAAAGATCAGTTTCAGTTTTTTTCCAACTAGCTATAAGTTCTCAGACTAACATTTAAAAGAGCTCTTTTTTCTAATGATGACGCTGCCACCAACAAGAAAGCTGTATTTAAAAGAAAATACACTAGAGTCCTGCAGTAATAACTTATATTTAGAAAAAGCCACAACTGCTCCCTCCACAACTGACCACAACTGGGGGTGACAAGATTAGTAAAGGTTGTTTGCATTGCATTTTAAGTGTGCTGTCTAAACTGATCAATGTTGACTCTGTAAACCATGGTTCCCAGTTTGGCAAAAGGTCAGCAATACGTCCTGATGGAGACACACAGAACCTTTGTGAATTCCCCCTGCTAGTTGGGAAAGACCCTCCATCCATGAAAAACAGGACTTCCTCTTGTTTCATGCCTCCTCTGTGCTTCTATAGTGTAGTACTTCTAAAAGTAGTCACTCGGTCATTTCTCTTTCATCTCAATGCTATTCAGCTTCTCAGCTTACAGTTCATTAGTTATCTTTTAATTTTTGACACATTGACCCTAAAGCTATTGCTATTTCAGCTTGCTCTAAATTGAAAAGCTTTTATACAAGTGATGAGCCTCAAAATAGTTGGATGATATTTTAGGTAATGTGATCAACATCTCAAAAGATGTTTCCTAAGGAGGTGTTCTTCAAATACTCTTTGAAACAAGTATATTTTTTATTATTCTGAAATACATAACACCTGTTATATTTTAAGTAGCCTTTTAAATATTCAAAGTAACACTGGCCAACACTGAGGTCTGGGCATTTAGTTGGGAAAAACACAGGTTAACATTTTGTCATTTTTGAATTCCTTGTACTCAGAGGAAAGTGCAAAGAACAAAATACAATGCAATCATATTACATTGAATGTAGTTTATTTAAACATTTTAAATGAAAGTGTAACAAAAAAAAGTTATGGAAGTACCATCCCAATTAAATAAAAATTAAACAAAGCCACCAGGCGGAGTGCAGTTGGCTCTCAGCCTAGAGATTCCTTACTGTGGACTTAATCATTACTAGTCTTGGGTTGTCTCTTTGCCAAGTATAGTTTCTACTAAAGACCCTAAACGCGCAACCTAACCTGTATGCCTACGAGATTACACAAACATGTTTAGAAATTTGTCAACTTAGCCCTGCATGTATCCAGTGAAACGCTTCGCTTTGCAGAGGACATTATTCCTCTGCTGGGAGGCCTCCCAACGTCATCTAAATACCACAGAAGGGCAAACAAGTCTTTAGTAGAAATTAACTTGGCAGAGGGAGACAAGCCAGCTCTAAAAGTCCAAACTGTTTAATTAAGACCATTTATGACCAAATAGTGTCACAGTTTGGCCAGTTTAAATTTAACATGACAATCTATAAGCTGAAAGTTCACTTAAATCTATCAACTGACAACTTTATAGTACCAAATTCACAAGCTTTTAAAACAAGGCAAATATTTAAATATTTGTGGCCCCAGAGATTCACGCCCCCCAAGAAAATAATACAAAGGTATATTAGTAACTTATTGGTAAAAACAACAACAACAAAAACAGACAAAAACTCTGAAAACATCACTACTATGGACCTCCAACCCAAAGAAAAGGAACAAACAAGGCACTGATAAAATTACTACATCCACTTAATCATAAACCATATTTTCATTCATTCTGTTCTAAAGGAATTCACATTGACTGGTTGGTAGCATTTTTGAGGGATGATGTTGCACCGTGAATGGAACAGGTCACAAAATCAGATGGATCCATGTCTGATTTTGGAAACTGCTTCCATTGTGCAGCACTCAGCAAGAATTCATGGGTAGATTTCTTTAAGCACCAAGAAAAAGCGGAAGGACAAAGACCTTTCCATATGAGTCTACTCTGTTTACCTTGTTAAGTGTAAAAGAAATCCAGCTCATTCAATTCTGATTGATTGTAAACAAAAGCAAAACTTGGTCAACCTTATAGAAAAAAAAAAAAAATCAACCAAAGAAATATATATTTATACAGCTGAGCAGGAAGTAGAATGGAAACTCCCATCAGCTGTGGTGAGACTGGGTCCTTGGGGGCCAATTCCTAAACAAGAATTTGTCAAGTAAGTTTTCTATACAACAACAAACTGACCAGGAAAGGACTATATTCTAGTACAAACCTTAACAAAGCCAGTAGAACGGAAGCAGGTCTGGATTATCTTGACTGCAGTTGTGACTGGACCAGACCAGGATGTAGCTTCTCCGTGTTTTGCAGTTGCAGGTCTATGGGATTCAAGAAGAGTGTAAGCAAAATATAAAATCATAAACAAATAACACCTGAATCAATCCCTTCATCCCTTTTCATGTAAACAAGAAAAACATACATAAGATGAATTTTTTCCACTGATCTATATTAAAGATGCATTTTCAGTATGACTCTACACATTTGACAATTTATAAAGTGCACAGAATTTGAGTATTTTTAACACAGGGCAGAAATCCCAGGTGAGGCAGTGGAGAGCTGTGACTCATATCTGGCAGCGCAATTCAAGACCAACTGGGTCGCATGACACGTGCCCATTTCTGTTCCTCAGCATATCACCAATATGAACTTTTCAGAAATATTTCTTAAATAGCATGACTCTCTACAGTCTGTGTAATATATGTAATGTACGTGTGAGAGAATTGTTCCTACTGATCCTACAATACAGTGCAGAGAAAAGTCAGCAGGGGAGGCAGGCAATACTCTGCCTCACCTCAAGGGGGCGTCTGAAGGTCAAAATAAATTTGTGCTGTGTTCATCTCTATATTTTAATTTGTTTAAAGTAAGTATGAATTGCTTAGACACAATGGATGCTCTATCCATTTCTATAAAAAGCATTCATTGTAGGACAATTCTGATCCTTGAAAGAGAAATGCATGAAGCATTACCAGGTGCATGGTGTTGGATGAACAGTGAAATTGTTCTTACAATTGTGAATCTGACTCCAGACGAGTTAGTGCCTCACCAGCTATAAACCTCACCAGACGTCACTGCTGAAAAGGACAAACCTGTCTTTTTTAACGGTGCTCTTCATTGGGAGTTTGCTTCTCACATAAGTCCTGTGTCTTGCTTCAGTCCAGAGTCAACAGAGGACAAGAGAAAAATAAATAAAAACTTCAAATTCCGTGGATTCTAGCTCATGTGATTCAATATTTGGTCAAATTGAAAACCTCACAATAACTCAATCCTTCTGGTCACCTCAGAACTCTTTAACCAGGATCCATCTTCACCATACTTGGTCTACTCTGGTCCAAATAATCCTAGAAACACAGATCAGATCAGTCAGTTTGGAGATTTACTTGAACAGATTTAACAATGGTCAATGTGAAGAACAAACCTGGAGAAATCCTGTGGCTGAGAAGATCAAAGGAGGCCACATTTCCAGAGGTTGTATGGATCCAACACCGACCAATCAGGGGCAAGAAATCTTACCTGTTTAACTGACTGATCTTACCACATTCAGTCAATTAGGACAGTCTTGGTGAGGCCTACACCACCTGTTCCTGCACCACCCACTTACACTGATCATTGAACACTTTTACACAATCAACCTAGATTAAACACCGGTGAATTAAATTAACACAAGTGAATACCATCTCTCAGGTGTCCTGCCAATCACATGTACATAGGTAATCACACTGAGGGTCATCCATTTCAGTTTAACTAAGACACAGACTAAACTACATACTTTAACAAAACCATAAATTGAGAATTAGCATTAGAACTCCTGTCCCTTTATTTTCTGCAACTAGGCCCATAGAACTTAAGTTTTTAAAAGTTATAAATATTAACTTAATCATTATTAGTTTTGGGTTGTCTCTTTGCCAAGTATAGTTTCTACTAAAGACCCTAAACGCGCAACCTAACCTGTATGCCTACGAGATTACATAAACATGTTTAGAAATTTGTCAACTTAGCCCTGCATGTATCCAGTGAAACGCTTCATTTTGCAGAGGACATTATTCCTCTGCTGGGAGGCCTCCCAACGTCATCTAAATACCACAGAAGGGCAAACAAGTCTTTAGTAGAAATTAACTTGGCAGAGGGAGACAAGCCAGCTCTAAAAGTCCAAACTGTTTAATGATGTTAAAGACCATTTATGATCAAATGGTGTCACAGTTTGGCAGAATTGGTGATTTTAAACCTGATTTGTAAAGTTAAAAATTGCACACAAAAAAGAAAAACCAACATCTACGAGCTGAATGTTAAATTAAATCATGCAACATGCAGATAAAGGTGATCACACCAAGGATCATGCAAACATTAAACACCAGAGGTGGACATCACATACACTGACAGCACAGAAAGTGATAACATTAGTGTACAGTGATAAAATGTAAATTTACAAAAGTACATACATACTCAAGCACAACATTTACCAGTATACATTTACAAAAGTACAAAGTCAAGCAAATTTACCTGTATAAATTTACAAAATTACAGCATCAAGCAAATTTACATGTATACATTTACAAAATTACAAGGTCAAGCAAAGGTACATGTATACAAATTACAGCATCAAGCAAATTTACATGTATACATTTACAAAATTACAAGGTCAAGCAAAGGTACATGTATACAAATTACAGCATCAAGCAAATTTACATGTATACATTTACAAAATTACAGGGTCAAGCAAATTGACATGTATACATTTACAAAATTACAGGGTCAAGCAAATTGACATGTATACATTTACAAAATTACAGGGTCAAGCAAATTGACATGTATACATTTACAAAATTACAGGGTCAAGCAAATGTACATGTATACATTTACAAAATTACAAGGTCAAGCAAAGGTACATGTATACAAATTACAGCATCAAGCAAATTTACATGTAAACTACCGCAACGTCCAGAACTGTAGAAAACTACCGCAACGTCCAGAACTGTAGAAAACTACCGCAACGTCCAGAACTGTAGAAAACTACCGCAACGTCCAGAACTGTAGAAAACTACCGCAACGTCCAGAACTGTAGAAAACTACCGCAACGTCCAGAACTGTAGAAAACTACCGCAACGTCCAGAACTGTAGAAAACTACCGCAACGTCCAGAACTGTAGAAAACTACCGCAACGTCCAGAACTGTAGAAAACTACCGCAACGTCCAGAACTGTAGAAAACTACCGCAACGTCCAGAACTGTAGAAAACTACCGCAACGTCCAGAACTGTAGAAAACTACCGCAACGTCCAGAACTGTAGAAAACTACCGCAACGTCCAGAACTGTAGAAAACTACCGCAACGTCCAGAACTGTAGAAAACTACCGCAACGTCCAGAACTGTAGAAAACTACCGCAACGTCCAGAACTGTAGAAAACTACCGCAACGTCCAGAACTGTAGAAAACTACCGCAACGTCCAGAACTGTAGAAAACTACCGCAACGTCCAGAACTGTAGAAAACTACCGCAACGTCCAGAACTGTAGAAAACTACCGCAACGTCCAGAACTGTAGAAAACTACCGCAACGTCCAGAACTGTAGAAAACTACCGCAACGTCCAGAACTGTAGAAAACTACCGCAACGTCCAGAACTGTAGAAAACTACCGCAACGTCCAGAACTGTAGAAAACTACCGCAACGTCCAGAACTGTAGAAAACTACCGCAACGTCCAGAACTGTAGAAAACTACCGCAACGTCCAGAACTGTAGAAAACTACCGCAACGTCCAGAACTGTAGAAAACTACCGCAACGTCCAGAACTGTAGAAAACTACCGCAACGTCCAGAACTGTAGAAAACTACCGCAACGTCCAGAACTGTAGAAAACTACCGCAACGTCCAGAATTGTAGAAAACTACCGCAACATATATTTGTAAAATTGTAATTATAAAACTGCCAGTGAACTATAAATTAAAATTAGTTAATGGCCACACTGGGAAATATAGGAAAGGAGACAGGTAGGCATGGAAGCCAAGAGGAAGCGCCACAGAACCCATTACTGGACGTCAGTCCTTTGACACAGTGGCCAAAATGAGACATCCTTCACAGTTCAAAGTAAGCTAACCTTGTGATAAAACATCTGGTCCCCCCCCACACACACACACACACAGAGAGAGAGAGATTTGAAAGTGGAGAAATTCTGCTGCTACACTCCTAAACTTTGTCATACACATGGTGTATAACATTCTAAGTTTACCATATTTTAGACTGAACAGTGACTATTATATCTACTTAACTTGACATTATTACAATATTTATGAAAAGCCAAAACAGATAGAAAAGAACTATAGATCAGCTCAGCGGCTGGAAAAAAGGTCATGGCAAGAGGCCATGTTAGGGCGTAAGGGCAGCTCGGCGGCTGGAAAAAGAATGTGACACTTAAGTGTCACCTTGTGTCAATTTAACTGTGCAACTAATTGCAATTTAATGTTTTCCTTCCTGTTGTCTTTATCCAGAAAAAGCTGAAAAGAAAAAGGTTATGGCATGGCAGCCAGACAAACCCAACCCCACCCCCCAGAAAAAGGAAAAGGGTACACACCTGGCATGGCTCTTCATCCACAGCATTGAAGACATTCAGGATCCAGTGGTTTGAAGTCAATGTCATCAGACATCCATAAGGTTTTTGTTCAAATAGGTTAAACTATTTTAGTAAACGTACTAGTCATATGACTGTACACCACATTGTTCAGTCATGTCTAAATGATTAAATTAGATTAAACAAGATTACACAGAACTAAAAACCAATGTATAATTGCTAATTAGCTCTTTATTCCTGACTCTAAAACTGTAAAGGACAGGGACAGATGGAGGCCGACAAGGAGGCCATCCGGGGAGAAAAAAAAAAAGTTCTGGACTCACCATTTGTCGACAGCACCTAAAAAGTAATAATTGTTACTGCACATAGAGACAGAACATCATTCACACTGAATGACTACAAACTGCTGAGCTTAAAACCACTCTAGTCATTCACACTCAACAACACACTGCAGCCATTCCATTAACTACAAATACTGAACCACCATGGTCAGAAATCAGACCCAGAGCCAACATTTACCTAATAGCTCAGCAGTTCCACATCCACACTATGAAAATGGGACCAGAGTCACAACAACCTGCTCATGACCAAAACCCAGGTTCTACAGCCTATAAACTCAGAACAGGAAAAACAGAAAGGAAACAACCTAGAGAAGAGACAGGTGGCCATTTGCTGTTTGTGTAACTATGTTTCACACACTCAGACACACACACTGCTAGGCACGGCAGTCTAGCACAACACAGCAGCGGCACGGCAGCCGCAAAGAATAAAAGAAAACGTTGTTCCCTACTATGTTGAAGATCTTCAGGATGACCAATCTAGAAAATAAACCAGAGGAGTCATGTTAGCTACTGAAGCTTCAGTGTGAGCACAACATTTGTCAAATAATTATTCTTATAATCAGCTTAGCAAAGAAAAAAAGAAAAGTTTTCTTCCACTTTCAGCAAAGTCTAAGCCATTTAGACAATTAAACACCAACGGTGGGGGGAAGAAAACTCCAAAACGCACTTACCATTCTATCCCAGGCTTCCATTCGGACCAGGCCGAGTCGCCATTAGAGTGTAACTTCGCGCACCTGCGGCTTTCAAAAAAACGTGGCAAACATTTTCAGAGTCTGGTGTCACACGCCGCGGCTGTTACTGCCAATTCTGTCGCATTTTGTGGCGTAACTTCACATAATAACCGGTGATTGGTCAGATTCTTGTGGGACGGAGCGTCCGCTAGAGTTGTTTGCATTACTTTGTGTCGGTGTTTTTAGTAAAGGTGTCCGAGAAAGCAATAAGTCCCACAGCTTGACGTGCTTTGTTACCAACGAACATATGCTCTCATTAAATGCAGTTAATTAAATTACGGATCTCCAGTGTTGCTCTACTGATGCAAGCTGTCTGGCGTCAGGCAGTCCACCACGCGCCACTGAAAACACTTGCTGACACATTCACGTTTTCGTGTATGAGGGCCTGATAGAGAGTCGGGTGAGGCGGACATTTTCTAAAATGGCGCGGATTTTGTAAGGTCCGCCCGCGTTGCAACGTGGTGTCACGTGTGTACGGCGGTGCAAAGCTCCGCCCATTGTAAAACAGGGTGGAGCAGAAGCGTAAATTCGCGATAATGAATACATTATTTATTAAAAGAAAGTGGCTCAGACGTGTTCTATGAGAGAAGCAGCTGAAATTACCTATGTTGTAATTTGGTGATATTAATTAAATTTACTTAACTTTCCCCCTTCCTCCTCCTCCGCCTGTTCTCTCTGACAGAGCAAACTATTATGTCAACTTATTCCTTGTGCACCTAACAGCCAAAAATATTATGTCAAATCAGTGTTATTGGTGTTATTATTACAAACAAATCACTAAAGTATCCATTAAGTCTCTTTTCATTGTAGATGTTAAATAATTTCTGATTCCACCCAAATACCCACCTTATTCATTTTATGGAGAAATTAAGTCTTATAAGTCTTCTCTAAACAGAAGTTGTTACAGAAGGAGTGAATGGAAAACACCTAAAAAACCAGAAGAAAACATCCATCCTTCCATTCATCCAACAATCAGCCCACACAGCCACCCGACTCCTGGTGGACCCGTGGTAAAGGTATGCAGGCTCAGAAACACAAGCCTACACCCTGATCATTGGGGTCTCTGAATAATTCACCTCTGCTGTGTTCCGCTGTGACTGATGGAGACAGTTGCTGCTGGGTCAATACCACAGTGCTGAAGTGATCAGGGAGCTGGAGCCAAGCAGTGAAACAATAATCTGCAGGAGCTGCTGGGACTGCAGCAATGCATTGGTTGGGACCCTGGT